AAGTGTGAAAACCCTAACTTCATCTCTTCGATTCTCCATACTCAAGAATGATATCAAGGATTTCTTGAAAATTTTGGAAATCTTGTAATATGCTATACAACTCCTATTTGAATCACTTTTGAAAATTCCCCTTGGAACTATATGAAAAAGTGCCATGAAGATAGGTCAAAATCCTGACCAAAATTAGGGGAAAATTTCACTAAGTGTCCAATTTCAAGACCATGACTTTAGGAATGAATAACTTGAGATGAAATAATTTTAGAAGAAGTTATGTAAAGAAATGCTATAGATATCATGGATATCTACAACTTTCATGTTGAAAGTTTCTTCTGAATCCTCTTGCATCATGGTGAAAAATTGGTCCAAAGTTATGAAAAAACATGAAGTTTTAAGCACTTAGAAAAATTTCTAAGTTATAAAACTTTGACTTTTAAAAATGAAATCTTGACTTTTTGATTTCTTGATGAATAAGTTTCATATTTGAAAAGTTTTGATGAATTGTGATCTTTGACATTGAACTTTAGCCAAAAAGTCAAAGTTTGACTTTTCAGTGTACAATTGACTTTTTGATCAGTTGACTGAAAATTCACTGTCAATCCAATTGATCTTGAGCAATGTTTTAGGTCATGCCGTTAGGTCAAAATGATGCAATTGAACTCTTGAAATCATGCTTCAAACCAATTGACCATTTGCTATGTCAAAAATCAGAAATTGCACTCCCTTAGTCAAAACCCTAATTTTGACCATTTTGCCCTTTTGACGATCTGATCAAATTTCTTGAGGAATTGTGGTCCAAACTTGATCAAATGATATATATGAGTTTATAATGTTGATGTGGCTCAAAAATTATGAAGTTTGACTGTAAATTGGCCATAGTTGACTTTTTACCCAATACAACTAATTTTTATGTCAACTGCTCAATTGACTGAGCAAAAGTGTGATCCAAGTGCAATCTTGGGGGTCCATAATGATCCATGGAAGACATATGAAGCATTGAAAGTTCAATTATCCTTGTGCAATCTCAAACCCTAATTTTGGTCATCAGTGCTTAAGGAGGTGTCTTGAGCTGATCAACCCTAGTGCAATCTTGAACCAAGAGAGGTCTTTGTGAGAAAATATTTGATAAATGAGAGGGAAAATTTTGGGGTACAACAGCCACCAAAGAAAAAGTTCATCTTCCACATATTTTGTTCAATCATCTGAAGACTAGTGTCAAAGAAACAACAGAAGAAGAAAGAACCAAGAGAGATTCGGTTCCTCTGGGATGACTCATTTCAGATATTCCGATAGAAAATAGACTGATAGAAAATCTGACTGAGGTTCAACAAGCAAAAGTTCTGGAACCGTGTGCTGGAAATCCTCTGAACACCAAGAATCTAAAGAATATGAAGATTATTGAAACCATTAAGAAGGACCCAGCAATCACCACCAAGGAAGTCATCACCACCCGAAGAGTGCCTATGAAGGATTTCCCGCTCTTCACTCAAGCAGACTCCTCTCTAGAAATTGTTCTCAAGTATCTGGAAGCCTGCAAGGGTGATGGTACGATTCCATATGTGAACATTCTTAATCTAAGGCAACAACCTCTAGAAGTTGCTCCCAGAAAATCAAGAAAAATGAAAGTTGTTGGAGAAGGAACTTCTCAGAAACCCCCCAAAGCTGCCAAAAAGAAAGGTAATTCATCTTTTGTTTCTGTTATTAAATCAATATTTTTATCAACATATGAAACCCCATCTTCTCCAAAACCCGCTGAAGATCCATCTCCTAAAACCCGTGATGATTTTGACTTAGAAATTGACATTTCAATACCTATAAATAATCGTCTGATTAATCCATGTTCTACCCATTTTGATCAAACTCATCCAAAACTTTCACAAGTTCTCTATGATATTGATCAATTTGATCCACTGTTTGAAGCTCCCCAAATCAAAAATCCAAATTTTAACTCTGATACCACGACATCCATCCCATGCATCACTTTCCCTATCATGATCTCTCAACCCCCAATAATCCCCTCAACTTCATCACAAACTTTCTCCATTCCAGATATTCCATCTCCTTATCACTCAACACCGCCTAAATCACCTATAATTATTTCTGACTCTACATCTCCCAATAACTACCCAGGAGATCCCCTTAGAACAATCATCGATTTAGAAGCTTGGGACAATCTTGTCACAAGTTCTCAGAAAATTACCATTCCAAAGCAAACACCAAAAATATCCAAATCAGATGTTGGTAAATCTTTGCTGATTTTTGAAACATAAATACAGGAATGGGTTAACTCCTTAAAGTTATCTTGCATGGAGAATCTTAACCCATATGCTTCTGACTCTCATTGGAATTTGTTCAGAAAATAGTTTAACTCTGAATCTCTGAAGCTAAAGGAACTCAGCTATGAAATCGCTCAACAAAACTTCTACGATCGCCTAAAAATATTCAAGGATCAAGTTCTATGACACTGGGTAAAGAAACCCCTTCTTCTTTTGGACAACACCCCTTGGGAAGCCCCTCGGACATTAGAGTATACTCAACTGCAGTTAATTCTGAGAATGTGGTTTCTTCTATTGAAATAACCTACTATTCTCTTGTGCTGGAAACTCTAGAGGAGTTGAAGAAAGAAAATGTTGTGTTTAAGGAAAGGCTAGACAAACAGGATGAAACTAGCAAAGAAATTAAGGGGATGCTTGGGAAACAAGAGGAATCAAACAATCAAATCAAGAGTTTACCGGAAGCCTTGTTCACACGACTTCCACCTCCTCAACCTTTGAAAATTTGTTTTGTTTCTGCTATTTGTTTCTTATTTCAATCTTCTTCTTATCCACCTCCTTCTGTTTTTCTTAATCCACTTTGAATACAAAATCTATTTTTTTTATATTTACGTGATTTTATTGCTTTTTGATTCTTGACAAAATGGGGGAGAACATAAGATATTTTGAATATAATAGTACTGAGACGTACCTCTGAAAGCAAACAAGAAAAATCTCTTGAAAAGTAACTTCTGTCACATGGACATACCAAAACTTCCATCACAAAGCTCTGATCAGAACATCTTCAGGGAAGTATTTTTTCTTTATTTGAGTATTCAACTCAGGGGGGGTGACTTTAATTATTTATGTTCTTAAGTAATCTATCAAAATATACAAGTTTTTGTCATCATCAAAAAGGGGGAGATTCTTAGAACATAGTTTGGTTCTACATCCATGTAAGAGTTTTGATGATAACAAACACATGATATATATAAAGAACAAATATTGTGTCTAATAATGTATTTAAATACGCAGAGAAATTCTGATGAAAGAAGCATAAAATATGAGAGAGTTACGTTTTGAAGCTCTATTTAGACACAACATGATTGGAAGAAAATCCGTGTAACACGGTGTTATACCCCAATTTTCCCCCTAAGATCCCTCATCATACTCTGTACATCTCACACATAGCATTGGTCCCAGGGTTACAGGATCGAAGAGCTTTGACATTAGGGTTTCTCTCTATGAATTGAGTTTGCTATCTTACTCAAAATTGATTCAACTGGTGCTCTCATTATTCTTGGTATGAGATTAGGGTTTTGGATCATAAGCATCATAGAAGTCTTCACTAACAGGTTTCCTCGAGACAAAAGGTTTTCTTCATCAAAAGTTTCTCAAGAACAAATGCATTAGGGCTTTACCTTTGTGTGCGTAGGTTTCATCATATTTTGAAACCGAGTAGACAATGAGCTAGAGTTTCGATTCCTCCCAATACCTCAAGTCGTCTCCTCATCATTTTGCATCCAAATCAAGAGAATTGGGGTTTCCTCCTAATTGTCTTCACTACAAGATATTCTTTTCAAGAAGTTTAGAGGATTGAATCGGAATCTTATTCTCATTATGATACTCATAAACGGATTAGGGTTTTTATCCAAGGTGGTCGAGTTTGTCAACATTTCAACTGAAGTTCATTTGATTTGATACTCCAAGTCTTGCCACTTGTTGTCCATTGGTTCCTCACAGCTTTAATCTTGTTGCAAGATTGTTCATTACCGAGCTAGGATGTCTTCGAGGTTTAAAGTGCAAAAACATGAATCTTGAGACAAGAATGGACTAAAGTCACTGGTCATTCAATTGAAATGAATTGCTTCAGCTGCAAGGTATGTGGACTCAAGATCAAAAGCTTCATCTAAATGTGCTATGAGTTTAATATGACCAGGGGATTCAAGGTTTTGGTTTATGGTTTCACTATGGCATCAACATTGACCTGTCGCAAAATAATTCAAAAGTTCTAGACTAAAACATTCATGTATGTGGATGTCTTGGATAAAGTGAGTTATGAGACACATCATTATCAAAGTCATCTCACGGTTATCAAATGTCATCAAGGTTCCAATCACAAATTTTCATTAAAATCATCAAAATTCAACTTTATTCAAAGCTTCATTCATGAACAAAGTTCTATTCATAAATGCAAATAAAATACCAATATGATTTCATTAGAAAGTTACTTGAGATTTTATCAACCATAAGTCATGGATTCGAATGTCTCGTTCAATTGAAGATTGAAATTCAAATACTTCCATATTCGTTCGAGTTTAGTTCTTTGGAATTCAAGAAACACGACAAATTGTTCTTTTTTACAAAACATTACAAAAAATCGTACATAAAACCTATGTCCAATCCTAAACCTAATGGCTACCATTTTGGTGCCTCCATCTCCACCTATTCATGTCTACAATTCAAACTTCATGCCTTGCCTTCGAATGTATCAACCTTATTCCTATGCTTCCTCTCAATTCACCCATATATTTAAATAGCCCTATTTCAATAAATTGACACAAGCTCACATGAATGTCGGGAGTATGTCGTGCTGCAAACACAGGAGAGAAAAGTGAGTAAATTCATATGCGGCCCTGTAAAATAGATTAGCCGACAACACAATAAACTAGTTCAAACATAAAATCCAATTCAGAAAAGTTATCCACTAAACCAGTTGGCCAAACAGATCAAAAAATTTTAAATCCATCAATGCAACATCACTCAAATGATACTATTGAAGCTCTTAATCAGAAAAAGAACAATTCTTGCGGTACAGTTAAACAGTGTCGTTCTGTCAAGGAAGCCAGGGATATGGGTACGGGAAACTCTATAGTTTTTCCATCTAAAAATAAAGAAGAAAGCAAGCATATTGTCAAAAATGTACCTACTGGTGATGATCCTCCACTATCTCAATAGCGGAGAGTTGCAAAGCATGTGCACTATGTCGTGTTACTGTATAACTATTACCACAGAAAACAACATCTGGAGCTAGCATTTGTGGAATTTATGGAATTATGCAAATTGGCCGTGGATTTGAGCCCAACTTTATTAACATATATGAAATTCACTCAGAAGCCTGATTAAACAGACCTTGTTGATATGGAACAACAACTGTCAATAATAAAAAAAGGCTGATAAGTAGAGGAGAGTGAAACTCAAAATAAACCAGAAATAACTATAACAATTTTAACTGATTTTTCAACCGAATTCCTAACCGTCATAACAGAAATCTATTGCAGCTACTAATCCAAATCTCTAACTGCCATAACAACCATACCTAACCTTATATCAGATGAGACTCATCCATTGGATCTAAGAACGGAAAATCAAAATCAAAGGCTGAGGTCAATTCTGATATAACAAAATTTCTACTACTTTATAACAGAATTCTAACAGAATTCTAACAGAATTAAGGGAGGAGAAGGGAGTTCATAGCAGAATGAGGGGGGAGAGAAAAAATGGAGAACATAATCACAATAGAATGAAGGAAAAAAAATTCTAACAGATTCATAAGAGAAAAGGGGATCCATGATGAAAAAAGATGACAAAATACTCACCCTTGAGATTTTATCTTCTATGCTTGAATCCTCATCCTCATCTTCATCCATCTTCTAAACCTTTGCACTCTTCTTTCCCTCTCGGTGCTTTATCATCTTATTCAATCTTCTTCACCTCTCGACATCGATATCTAGAACACTTCATCTTCATCTTTTGTTCTTCAATCATCATTCTCCACCAAAGAAAATTCTACAATAAGCTCTCTCAAGAAATCCCTCTGTGTTCTTCACCTCAGACACATCAAAATTTCTCTGTCATCATCATCATCTTCATCTAAAAACCCTTTGTTTATCTTTATACAATTATCTGCAATCTCAACAATACACATCAATATCAGACCATTGTTACAACATCATGGTTTCATGCAGTCTCACAATTGTTACGAAACACGATAACACGACGAAAGCGCGGAGAAAATAAAAATGTAGAATAAGAAGAAGCCAACGAGGGAGAAGAGGCTTAACTTAAAATACTTTATGTGTTATGCGTTTGCAATATGTTGACAAAGCACATGACTCGTCTCTAAAAGCTTGATCATAGCTGCATCTTCAAGACTCGGGGATCTATCTTTATCTGCTCTCTCTCTGAACCGTAGGAAGGCGAAACTGCATCAACCTCTTGTAACCAGCTTTGATCATCATTTTGAATTCGTGATTCCAATCTCTGGAAATCATCACGAATCCACCGCATCGCCTTCAATAGTTATCACCTTTGTCCATAGAGCAAGATGTGAACGTCATCGCAACTTCAAAGCGCGATCCTCATCAACACAACAACAACTTCTATCATAATCGATGCGCAGAAAACATAAGAATTGAGGGAGAAGATAAAAGATTGAATATTGAGTTACCTAATAAGAATGGATGAAACGCGTAGAGAGAGATGTTGAGTCGAAGAGATCGGACACGTGAAGGAGATTGAGACGGAGTCATATGTTATATGGCGGCGTTGTGTTTAAAATTCGCCGAAGAAGAAGGTTTGACAATGATCGGCGGCTGAGATGCTCTAGTATAGAGGCGGCGGAGAGAAGTAGAAGGGTGAGAGTGAGGACCAGATTCTCAAATGAAGACCAAGGGTCACTCTCTCAACCTAAAGTAAAACAGCCATCTCTCTCTAAGCCCATCAGGTTTTTTTTCTTTGTGAAGTTTGGAAGAGCCAAAACAAAAAATATAGCATTTAGACTTCATGGTGACGGGCCTTGGCACCAATGGCTTGCTAGACATGCTCCCTGAATCTAGTTTACACCCCTGTGTAGAGTTTTCTTTTATAGTAATTCTTTAGTTTTTTTTTGTACATAACTGTTAGGTAATTTTTATTAATAGAAATTAGAAAATAAGAATAATAAAACAATAAAAAATGTTAATTGTTTCTTAAGAATATAATAGAAATTTTTTTAAAATTTTCTTTTTTAGAATTTTGGTTAGAATTTTCAATTATGGTTTAAGTTCGGTAATCATTTTGTTGTCGAGATTTTGTAATTCGTGTTTGCTTGTCGAGATTTGAGTCTTATGCAGGTTCAATGTATGATATACAAACATGCTTAAATTTCCTATTGTGATTTATTTTCAGAATCGATGATGCTTCAATGCTTATTTTGAGCATTGGATTTCTGACTCTTTTCTTTGTCGGCTTAGCGTCAGCTCGCGCGAAGTATTTCAGGTTTCTTTGCTTTGATTGCGTTTTTTATGGACATTGTTGTTCGTTTGGTATTGTACTGCTTCCAAGTTATATTTCTATATTTTATCGCTTTCCTTTATTTCTTGTTGATCGATGGGTCACTCAATTTAGAAATTGAGATCACGATTTCTCTCTCATTGTATGTTCCCTATAGGATAGTATGTTAGACTTTCTTTGGCATGCTAACTTAGATAGGATCCCTCATTGTATGATAACATTAGGTTAGAGATAGGTTAGTCTCCCTTAGATGTTTTCTTCCCCTTTTTTGTATAATTACATTTAAAACTAAAACTTCTTTTTCTTGGCAATTGTGTAAAAAATGCCAAGCATAAAAAAATTCTTTTCATGGTAAAAAATACCAACCAATCTATTTATTTTCGCCATTCGGATTTTCTCTTCTAAGAGCATTGTCAGTTCCTTTCCACTACAGGTCGTAAGTCTCTAAAGGTCGAGCAGCGATGGAATGATCGAATGCAACATTGTTCATTTAAAAAATACAAACAAACAAAATATATGAGCTGAACTACGATGCTCTAATTCCATAAAAGGGATACGTAGGCATTGGGGTAGGGCCCGAACGAGCACAAATTTTATTTTCCCTACATTATTTTCTATTTTATTTACATGCATTTCCTTTTAGCATTTTATAGTTCTTTAGCATTAGATTGAACACACCCTTTGATTAGAACAACGAGAGTGGATCCCGTAGAGTACTATGAACGTGTGGGGTGATAATACCTTCCCCTCGCGTAATCGACTCCCTTACCCAATCTCTCGGTCGCAAGACCTTGATTTCCCCTTTAGGTTTTTCTTCGATGATTTTCCTTTCCCTTTTATATGGGGTAAATAAATACTCAGTGGCGACTTGATTGATTTTACCGCTACACACGGTAAAATGAAGAAGTTCTAAATGTTATAACTTCTGAATGCACCAACGCTGCGAGCAAAACTATGATATTCGGGAAGAACAAAACTCATCTGCTCATTTGTTCTAAAGATTCAGCACTTGAGCCACACTCTAATAGTAAATACTATGATATGGAAAAGAAGCTCCAACATATCATCCAAGTTCTAATAGAAACTCTGAGGATCTAAAGTCTCATTGGTGATATTCTTCTTTTGATTTGATCCCAAGAAAGCAATGTTCTGATGCGTTACAACTCATTTATTACAAATAAAAAAGTAACGACTGAACTAAGACAAGATCTATATTTTTGGAAAGTGCATTAACAACACTTTATCAACCTTCCAAAAGAATCTCCTCATGTCTCTCATGCATCGCCTATTTAAAGAAGACTTGAAAAAGAAATCAAAAGAACACCATTGTGCACTGAAAGAGAATTTATTTTTACCCAATTCTATCTTGTGTTTTACACTTGTGTATACATCACTGTTGTGATATAGTTTTGTCTAGAAACATTATTGTACACATTCTTTTTTTATTTACGTCGTAATTCCTTGAGAAAACCGAGTTGTGGTAATAGTCATTGTGTTTGTGTAATCAAGTTTTGATTAGTGGTTTAAGACCTCGTTTGAGAGAGGAGAAATCACCTTGGCGGGTGGACTGGAGTAGTTTGAGTTCAAACGAACTAGGATAACCAACGTGTCTACTATTTTATTTTTGAAAACCCCAATACAACCCCCCCCCCCCCCCCCCGCCCGCCCCTTTCTTGTGTTTTTCCATTATTCAAACTCTAATGTTTAATTGAATTCCATAACTTTCCAAACATATATAGATCTTGATTTTTGAATCAAAGTTGTAGTAGACATTCTCAAGTTTCTTATGAAAAAATAATGAGTTCAAGGAGATGAAAGTTGACCAAGTTATGATCTTTTGAAATCAAGTTAAAGATTTCCATGGTTTCCTCAAAGGACTTGTAATCTTTTCAAACTTTTGATTATTCTCCTTGCACAATTGGATCTTGTCATGTGAAGAGAAGTTATTGTAAATGATGAGAAGAGTCCATAGCAAAAAGAACCACTTTAAAATATTGAAAATTGAGAGAGTTATGAACTTTTGATCATATCATCAAGGACTTGTCTAAATTAGGCCAAACCACTTGGATCAACTTTGAATATTTTGAGCTTTTCTTTAATTTTAAGGCATGATGAATCACCTTAAACCCTGAAATGAGGGTCATTTCTTGAAGAAACTTGTTGAAGAAGGAATGGAAATAAACACATGAACCTATGAAGTTTCTTGATGAATCAACCACTTACTTTGAGACAAACTTGACTAAATGAAGTTAAGAGAGCTCTCAAGCCATATAACTTTGATGCCATAATTGTATCCTTGAATTTCAAGCTTTTCGAATCCAATGAATAGCCATTTGACTGAGGATCAACCTTTAAAACCCTAGATTATGAGGTGAGAGAGATGCACTTGGCTTTATAACTACAATGTACAAAGCATAAAAGGAAATACATACATATTTTTTGGATTTTGGTTAAGGGTTAGTAAACATAAAATAAGCATAAACAAGATACACAATTCAAGGTGCTTGGTGATCTCTCAAGAGAAAACTTAAAGATAGGAGAGAGTAGAAGAGAGAACTAACCTTACAGTGTGGTCTTGATGCATTGTGATGATATAAAGTGATGAGGGATCTTAGGGGCAAAATTGGGTTATAACAACTGCCCTTATTTAAGTGTTTTCTATCCAGATATACGAAGGTTAAAAT